TCTTGTGTTTTCCCCTACACTTCTTTCGTGCTCTACCGCTTCCTAAGTGCTTTACAACAGAACAGAGCACAGTCGAGGCTTCTTTATTTGTTAATTTATAAGTTGATTAGAGAAAATAACAAAGAAAGAAAATATTATTATTTTGGAGCCTAGAGGCCAAAGCAAATGCAAGTTGTCTTGAAAGGAAAATTGAGTAATGACTTATTATGAGTTGCGTGGCTGATGTTGTTTATATCTTACTTTTGTTAGTCAACTAAAGCAAGCAGAAGCTGCACTGAAAGCAGAAGATGAAGAAATAGAGGAAGTCAGACAAGAATTTACTGTTCGAGTTACAGCTACAGAAAAGAAATACCAAGCTGCAGCAAAGGTTTCATGGTGTTGTTCCAGAAAGTACATTTATCCATTCCCCTCCCACAAATTTTTCTAGGTTTGAAACTCCCCTACCAGTTTATTCAGCTCTAGTTTATTTTCATACTTTGCTTTGAGACCTTTCATTAGCTTTTAGACCCTCCCACCTCCCCTGCATTAGAATTTGAAGTGAAATTCCTTGGCTTATATTAGGGAATGGAAATTCCAAGGAACTGGCATGTACAGTTTACAAACTAAGGTTTTCATAGCACTATTAAAATTGATTCAAACACGCTAATTAAGGTGGCTCAAAACAGTTTCCAGCACTCTCCAAGATGTAGATTTTGATGGGTCATTATAACCACTCTATATCGGTTGATGCCAAAATCATGGTATCACACAAATGTCCAATCATTGCTTAACATGTTGGTCTCAATTTTGTGGCACAATAGCTTACCATAGCAACAGTATTCAGACCTGTTAAAACACCCTCAATTTTAGCTTTAAGCCCTTGTAACTCAAAAACGAGCTTGGTGACCCCCATTTTTTATTATCGAATTGTCATAAGCATGATGAGATGCAACTTTTTACAAAGTTTAAAAACTTTTTGTTGAGAGGGATTGACACATTCAGAGCCATTTTGAAAATTTATATGTGTTAGGAAAGTGCTGGAAACTGTTGTCAGCCTCTAATACACAGTGGTTGAACTCTTCTGTAAATTCTTAAGGCGAGAAATTTCTGTCTTCTCAGTAGTCAGTAAATGGTAACCAACAATAACCAACAGGCACAGCATGCATTTAGTAGTTTATTTCATTTATTATTACAGAGCTTAAGCACAGACGTTTCTGAGCCACAGACGTCAACTGGAAGTTTATGTTCTTGCTTTTAGCACATTTTCATGCCCGACCACTTAGTTACAAAGCTCTCATTTTAGCATTACAACTTGACATTTTCAATGATGAGAGAGTAATACCTGTCAGAGAGGAGAAGTTTCGACTTCCGGTTGATGTCCATGGCTCAAAAACATCTATGCTTAAGCTCTCTATTAATTAATATGGATCTGTAACTTCATTTGATTTCCTTTCAGGAGAGGGATCAGTTGAGGAAGCTTTTAGAAGAAACTGAACAATCTCTCAGCTCAAAGTTAGTAATTCTGTAGAACATTACAAAATATATAATGCATGTACATGCAGGGTGGGATGGTGACCCACTAATGTTGTGTTTACATTTGAGTTTTTACCAGGTTAAACAGTTACTAAGGTCAAGTTACTTAATCTTTGTACATTCGTCCAGTGTTTATACATGTACTGGCTCAAATAACTGAAGTTAATCTGACAACACTTGCGCACGCTGTGTTATCAACGTCATGAAATCAATCTTGTATGAGGATCCAACCGTAGTGGAACAGGAGCAAATTGAGGTGCCATCATTTGCATAGGCGAGGACCTCATTCCATAATATTGCTGCAAAAATTCAGCTGCTTGATTGTACGCAGAGTATGCATGGTTATCTGCCATGATTGTCAAAACTGGAAAGAAATGCTTTGTTGACAATCGCACAATCTGATCTTGGTGGGTAGTGAAATATTATGCTGCCATAAGCGGATATATCTGTCATCTTGACCTTGGTTACCAGCTAACTGTAACCATGCCTGATCACAGGGTAATTACAACTTTTACCTTGGCTAAATTTCTTTTGTCTTTTGCGACATTTACCAAAGTATCAGGTGGCGTTTACACACAGAAAATATTTACCTAGGTAAGTAAACTCTGGTAAGCCGTTCAAGTCTAAACACAGCATAATTGTACCATTAGTTATAGCATTTGCTTTTATTCTTGGGCATTTCCTTTATTGGTCATTTCTGATTTTTATCTTAATTTTGCCTCAGTCTATTTCAAAAATTACGAGGCTTGGTGCAAAACATTTTATGAATACAGAAGTTTCACTCACAGGTTCATCTCCATTCAAATCAAATTTACTTGATGTATTTGAAAGGCTTTGCACTATATCTAAACCTTAAATTTGAAACAGGAAAAACTAACAAAGTCACATAACTATAGCCCATTTTAGAGCCACAGATAAAGGTGGACAAATATATGAAATTATGCAAAAAATCTTTATTTTCAAGTGCTTCATTATAAATTATTCCATTTCGTACAAATGCACTGTAAGTTGTAATACTTATGTTTCAAAACTTTTTTCCAGGAATGATAGACAATCTGAAGAGTTTACAACATTGCTCAAGGAAAAAGATGATCAAATAGCTCAGTTATTAGAGGAAGGTACGTTAACACATGAATATTGTGCAGCTCCATGTTCTACATGTACCGGTAGTCGGCTTAACAGGGAATGTAGCTGGCTCATTTACAAGTTCAGCCAGCTTTTTGGACTCCATCTTAAAAGTTACCCCAAGTCTTCTAATGAAACACTAGCAGGTGATTATCTTAATTTCAGCCAGCAAAACTAGTTAGCAGTCAACTCTTAGCTATGTGCATCCATGTAGGCTACTTATCCAGTATATAATGTCTTAAAATGAGGGAACTAATCATAATTGCGTATGTTTAGAAATTAAGTTAGACTGTTTAAACTAGTTTTATCCCGTTCATGTCTAAGCATGATTAAGTTGTTGATGTAATAATTAACTGTTGATGGACGTTTTCTGATGCAGGTGAAAAGTTGTCCAAGCAACAGCTTCAAAGCAATAACATTGTGAAGAAACTGAGAAATAAAGAGAAAGAGAATGATGCTCTGATAAAGAAAAACAGGTAAATATAACTTTTTATTTCATCACTAATCAGAGTTGAAATTTTTGGTTTATATCCATTTTTATTATTAAAACAAAAATTGTCACAGTGTTGATATATGTTCTGGTATCTCTGGCTTAGTTTGTGTCATCATGCTTATATCAATTCTGATAGTTCAACACATTTTTTGGTGGAAAGGTGATGACTTCATTAGTGGTACACAAGGACCATTTGCTGTGTCAAGGCTGATTTGGCTGACAGGCATCAATTGGTTAAAAGGTGTTTGTCTGATTGATGCTCATGAATAATTAAGCACTTGGTCTTGACTTACTTGTGAACCTTTGTCAAAAGACTTCCCTAAGTATTGTTNAGAAACTGTTTAATATGTCACGGTCCTGTTTCGTAGGAATTTCTGAATTGCCTTGGTTATCCCAGTTCCCGTATTTTTCACTTCCAGACCTTGCATTAGGCTTGATTACCAGCCGCTGTTCGGGAAAGGAGCCCGCGCTCCTCTCCCGAAGACGTAGACCCGACACGAGAGAGCGGCGGAAATCGAGCGTAATCTTGCATCAGTTGAAATTTAAAGTGGAATCTGCACTAACCAATGAAGTGGAATTGTTTAATATTTAATTTGTCAATAAATTTAATCACTGTAAGTTATTTTAAATTGGAACCGGCTGTCTTTCTCAGGAAGCAGCTCTCAGCGCTGAGATGACTGCCAAGGAAGGGCTGCGGATTGCAATGGAAAAGAAAGAAAGACAATTTAAGAACGAAATAGAAGCACTGGAATTCCAGGTATATTCCGTGGCTTATACACAACATTATCGATTGTAACTTCAATTAATTTTAACTAACTATTAATACCAGCCCTGGATTATTCATGATCTTTATGTGCATAAAGGTTGATTGGTAGGTCATTTCTCAATCTTTTGTTGCTTGTTCTTACTAACATTAAGAGCAAATTAGGCAGTAAATCACAGTGATAACCCCCACAGTAGATTGCTGTCTTTATATTCCGCTTTCACCATAATATGTCCGTTTTCCCTGTGTGGGAATATTCCCTGCTTTGCATAATACAGTGGGACCCCTCCACAACGGCCACTTTGGGAACAGAAGAAAGTGGTCGATGTAGAGAGGTGGCCGTTATGGGGAGGTAGGTGTGTAAGACCTGTTTTTTTTTTCAGGGGTGCAACATTTTTGGTCAAAAAATGCCTATTTTAGCATATATAAATTAAAATGTATCAATACAACAAAAACTAAACAGAAACAGAGACCAACGTCAGCGGTACGGATCAAGTTTGGTGACCTTTTACAGTGGAAACCCGCTTTACGACCATCTTACGGCCTCCTCGTTATAACGGTCTGGCCCGAACAAAAGCTCACTCAGTAGCTGTCAGTCATTTTCTTATTTAAAGAAGCGCTTTAACCCATTGACTCCTGGAGCTTTTTGCCAGAAACGCATTTTTTGGACATTCTGAAGATTTTCAGCCTGGATATGAGCCAAATTAGCTCCAATCTACTCAAAAAGGCATTTGCAACACGACAGCATGCCTTTTTTTTCCACTAGCATCGCGTTTTACCACATTTTAGCTCAGGCATGCGCAGAAATCAAAATTTGGGCTTTTCGGGTTTTTAAACTTTTTTTCGTGTTTCCGTTTTGTCCTTTTTTGCGGCAGTGATTAACCTTCTTCTGGGCTTTTTTCCAGTTCAAAAATTTCTGAGAAAGCATCATCGAGACGGGCAATTTATACCATGGAGTAGCTAAGTGTAGTCGCAGGAAATTTTGCTCCAAGTTTTTCACTCAAATTTCTGAGCATTTTCGTGTATATCTCAGGCTCAATTGAGCCGATCACTCTGGTATCATTGGAAAGATCTTTTCCTCCTCCAGAACTTGAATATAGATAATGCCAATTTTGGCCAAAGGTGATGACGTCAGAAGTGGAACAAAGGCCAACGCTCGTCACAGCCAGTTATGTCCGGCACAGGAGTCAATGGGTTAACACGGCCACCCCGTTCAGTTAATACGGCCAGATTTGTGTGCCCCATTGGTGACCAGATTAACGGGGTTTCACTGTTGAATGTAAAATGGGGTTTGTATACACCGTTCGCCAGTCGTTGATAAACTGGCCGTTGCCGAGAGGTTATTTTGTCAGTTGGGCCGAGTTTTAGTGGCCGTTGCCCTTGTGGGGAGGTGGCCGTTGTATAGAGGTGGCCATTAGTAGAGGTTCGACTGTGTTACTTTTAAATTGCAGTCAAGACAGTTACTGTAGTGCTGTTTTTTTACAGTTGTTTTATTGGTTGTTCTAGATCAGTGACCTACAGACTGGTTTGCGTCGAGGTGAACAGCAGGCCAGCAGAAGAGAAGATAACCTTCGACAGGAAATCAGTGATCTGCAGCAGGTTAGACTGACTGAAAGAAGATGAATTGAAAAGCACCACCAATTGGGGCAACATGCACTAATGCACGATTATAATTTTATTAACTAGGATTTGAATCCCTCGTAACACTAATTAAAGTTGGAGAAGCCTACACAGTTTTTTTACAATAACTAAACTTTTTCCTTTTCACAGAGATTGCAAGAAGCAGAAGCTCGGAACCAGGAACTCACGGAGAGTGTTACATTTGGTATGTGCAGTTACAATACGCTGTAATATGCGACATGGGAGAAGGACTTGCACCACATAACCCTAATAGTATTTTTGACCCAGTTGATTGAAACTAATTTATCGTGCTTTGAACAAGCCGACTCAATATTATAGTAATATTATAGATTGTGATGATGTAGTTTTGTGGTAAGTGGAATCATTACATAACGTTTCCTTAAAGCAGACATTCGTGCGAATTTAGAGATTATCACGTTTTTCTGTCATGATTGATCCACAGCTACGAGACCTTTGTTAAGACAGATTGAAAACCTGCAGAGTAGCTATGGAAACCACACTCAGACTTGGGAAAGAGTAGAGAGGAACCTAACGGAGAGGCTTAGTAAGTGAAACAGTCTAGTTGCTATCAACTGTGTTGCTTAGTATTTGCATTACTTATGATAGCCTCTTCCAGAAGTTCAGTTGGTTGGGGCACAGAAAAATGGCGAGCAAAAAAATAGGGAAGATTCCCCTCTCTCAGTTTTTCGCACGCCGTTATTCACGCCGCGCCCGAACTTTATGAACGCCTGGAGAGGCTATTCTTTTGATACAACTAACCTATTAAATCAAAGCGTGAAACTGTAATTCATTCTTTTTTCATTTGTACATGGAGACCTAATATTATAACATGACAATGCATTCGGGATGCCCGTCAAAGTATCAGGTCATAAGCATACTGTAAGGTTAGCCTAATGTAGCGACTTCCTCGAAGTCAAAATGTAATTTGACAGTTATTTACATCCTTAACGCGGTGGTTACCAATTCGGACGGTTTGTCGGTTTATACGAATCATTCTTCGACTGTAGAACATGTATTTTTCCATACTGTAGTTTCGTCCCTTCACCGTATCCCGAAGAACGATGCACTGATGAAAGCTTTTTCTCGTTAGATGAGGCACAGATTCAACTGGTCGAAGCTCAGGAGAAAGAGCGTGTAGCCACTGAGCATGCGCTAGAGTTGAACTCTCGCGTGACAGCCGTGGAGTCACAGTTGGCGACATACCGACAGGACAAGTCACGACTGGAGGCTACTCTAGAGGTTGAACGAGCAAGGCTAGAAGCTGTAGAGGAAGCAAGAAGCAGGTAATTTATATCACACGCTATCCCGCTTACACAAGAGAAAATATTGTCTTGATTGAACCTTCTTTAGAGTTAGCTACGGCATGCAAACGAATCTAACTCCACATAACTAGTGCGTACTTTACTAAGTCTTTGCATTGTGCAGCCTCGTAACACATGCATGACGTTACATGACAGGTTAGTTCATCAAACCCGATTGTTTCATACGACTTCCCTTTTGGGATTTCATCGCATTAGTTGTAACCAGTCCCTTGTAATTTGTATCAGGGAAGCCGCTAGGAGCGAGACTTTAGAGGTCAAATACAGAAAAATGATGGAGGACAACAATGTGGAAAAGGTTTGCTTGTTTCGAAGTGCATTTACCTTAAGACTTAGTACTAGTCTTGGACTGATTAAAAAAAAAACTGGTTTCTTTACAATGATTTTGATTTCTTGTCATCGAATATATAAATTGAGTGCTGGCAGTGTATGTTCGGTTTGACAATCTTTGAACAGCATTTGCCAGTGTTTCAGTCGAAAACATCCGGCCTTGGCCGGAAACGTGTCCTTTATTCTGCAACCGACTTCGACAAAGAGGAATAGGGCAGAGCGCACTGACGACGTTTGAAAGTGTGCGACTAATAGCGGATATAGGGTTCAAATCTTTACTCTAACTAGAGTATTATACTACAGAGCGCTGTGATATTAAAAATGAGATAAGAAATCATATGTGCCTTTGCTTTTCATATACTTTAACGAAGTTTTTTGTGAAAGTATTCAGGCTGCAGCCCTTGTTATACCACTTACACGGGGCATGTACTGTTCAAAGTTACAACCAATGATAATGCTCACTGGTAGTGTTTGTTCTTCAGGCCTTACTAGAACAACAACTAGCTGTAGAGAGAGGCAAGATGGAAACAGAGAAGAAAAAGTTTCAACATGCCATGGACGAAAAGGTCAAGTTTCATTTGTTGTATTGTATGATTCCTCTTCACACACAAAAAAATGGTTGTCATATTATTCCTCGTGCATTTGATTGTTTCATTACCTGGAGACTCGCTAATAGCCTGTCTTCATCAGTTTCCTCAATATTTCTTTATCTGGCAAAAATAGTGATGTTTGACACATTAAACAGAAAAATGTCCTTGCCATTTCTTGTTGTATCTTTTCCTCTCTGGCTCAACAAGAACATCTTTTATTTTGTACTGTACTTTCACTTCTGTAAGGGATTTCAGCGAAATCTCCCTTTTTTTCTCAGGAGAGAATGTTAATTCGTCAATCAAGTGTTTCTGGAGCGCCTCCCTCACCTTCTGCTACAGAGGAATATTCACAGGTTTGAGGAAAATATTACATGTCCACAAATAACCAGTTGTCTTACCGTCATCAGGCTTAAAGCATAAAAAATTTTTGGAGACCTTTACATGAACCGTTTCACCTGTTTTGGTTGCTGTTCTCGTTAGTCTTCTGAAGGTTTCCCCCTTGCTCAAGAACCTGGCGGACATTTTATTTAGCTAAAAATCCTGTTATTCTGTCCGCACGAGGGTGGAAAGACAATTTTATGTTGTCGTAACTCAGTTGTCAAAGCACAATTTGCATCCACTGTTCACTGGTCTTGGTTCTTCTAGGTTGAAGTGCCCGAGGCCTCCCCTCACAGGATACTTGGTCGACAGAGTAGCGGGACTAGTGTTATTGATGGCATCTCACGGGGAATCATGGGAGCAGGTACCGCTATGATCGAAAGACTGCAGGCTCAGGTCAAACAAAAGGATGGCGAAATTCTGCTGCTACAAGTATGAAACCATTAATGTAAACTAGAATTTACAACAACGTTTGATACGTCTAGTTGTATCGAGAGGTTTCTCGGTAGTAACTGCTACGCAGTCTCACGCGGTTGATCGCACTATGTAAATTACTTATACTGTAGACCGTTGATCATAATACTTCAACGAGAGGACCAATTTGATTTGCTGTATGTATAGATGAATTTTAATATTTTTATTTCTCATGCCTCGCGTAAAACCAAAATTGGTCTATTCGCATAGGGTCAATTGTAACAAACACATACAAATAAGGCAATGAACCAATCAAAGCTCCAGTTAAAAACATTCGACTGGTGCCAAGCGCGGGAATGCACACGCAAGTGAAGCTACGATTGGTTTTGGTTTCGCCTGTAATTGATTGAAAACACATCATGTTTGTTTGATTGTTCAAAGCAAGTCGATAGCTTTAATAATGAGGAATTTCTCTTATCACAGGAAGAGATTGCTTCGCTTCAGAAAACACGCGACGCTGTTACAGAAGAACTAACCGTCCTCACATCAAAGCTAGAGAGTCTGGAGGAAGACAGTCGGGTTCTGGCTGATCTTCAAACACGACACAAGGTTGGTTTGCCTAACTTATTTTAAAGCCTCAGTAGCCTTACCGATACAAAAACACATACACTCTTGTGTAGCCTCCGACGAAAACTTTCTTTAGGTTCGTCACGTAACGCTCGCAGGAACGAAAAATGAAATGACAGGCTCAAAGCGTGTCTTCCAACGAGACTCACTCATGTTTTCAGACATGATATGAGGTAAGGACACTTGATCTGACAAATCTGTGACAACAGGTGATGCTTTCTTGGCTTGAACACGATTCGATGTTTGAAAGTGTAGACTACTACTAGCCATGATAACAAACATTCGAAGAGAGTACATTGAATGTTCCATTATGTCTGCACACTTCCTCAAACCCCCACCCCAATAATAGCTCTGGATATCCGTTTCGAAATGGGAAGACTTCACGGTCACCGCTACCAGTATTTTTTTTTTTTTTTTCAATCTAATGGGGCATGCTTTTTGTCATTTCAAGGGGGAGGCGGAAGGATGTAGATAACAAGTGGAAAGACGCGCATGGTGTCGTATTTTGGTCCACAAAAAACGTAACGAAAACGTAAGCTAACAATTCTCGTTACTGATTTTGCTTTCCCTAGGAGTTGGAACAGCGACATAACGCCGTTCTCCAGATGTACGGCGAAAAAGCCGAACAAGCTGAGGAGTTGAGAATGGATTTGGAGGATGTTAAATCCATGTATAAATCACAGGTAACAAACACGGAGTATATTGCTGTTATCCGTACTGAATGCCTGTTCTTTTGTATTTGGTTTAGTTATACCGGGCGGCAAGTTCAGAAGTAACAGGTTTGGTGTTTTGTATTTCAGATTCAAGAATTACTTGGAGCTTCAAGATAACATTTGATTGAAATACAGCATTTAGTGTGACAACTCCATTCTGCCACAGACAATGAACCACGAAACCGCCTACTTAACAGTAGGGGCAGTTGAATATACCTCGGGGGAAGGAGGGTGGGTGGAGGGGGGGGGGGGGGGGTACATAAAAGTGACAGGTGAGAGCGTTAAGAAACGTCAACATCGATAAACCCTTTGAACATACCAGATCCTAATTTTATGTGCGGACTCGAATTTATATCCACCCCTCTCAAGAGGTACCACTTAGAAAACACAACATTAACTTATCTTTAGTTTAAGTTTTTAATGGGATAAAAGGACGGTTTTTCTCTGACAAGTAGCTCCTGTTAAATTGTTCGGCTAAATAACCTTGAAGGTTGGTGATACTTGTAGATTCGAACACCTCAAGCTGTACCAAACCGCAAATATTAGGGCGGTGGCATCTGACATAATTATTATGGTCAGAGTACGTCAGTGATCAACCTAGCGTCAATCTGCATTCTTCTTTGGTTTGTACTCATCTTGTTAATAATCACCTCAAGTGCATTGGAAAATAGGTATATTTATTAGCGAACAGGAGCGGTGATCTGAAATGCTCTCTGGAAGGCTTAAGAGAGAATTTTAATGGGTTTAAATTAAGTAAATTAAGCAGTTGTAGGGAACACGGAAATCCTGGGCATAGTTTATATAATTGAGACCCTCTCGATAACTGAGATAATATCCCAGATTGTTCTCTACACATAGTTTTGTCTTAATCTTTGTAGTCTTGTACTTACGTGAGAAATGTGTTGTCTAGAAAAGCATGTTACTTTGCCATCCTTCCTACAGACATCCTTTTAAATATGTCAGGCAGATTTTGCGTTTTAATATTTACTACGGTTATGTATAAAAGCTTTATGCCATAATGGTTTTAACAGTGCCATCGATATTTTGTATTAGATGACCATTTTAATGGAACGTCCAAGAAATCATATTACTCATAACGTCCATTAAAGGAGCTACGTCACGGTTTGCGCAGCTTGAAAGGTTAAGCCTAAATTTTTCAATTTCGTTGTTTGTAATCCGTGTTAATCTTCTTCATCCTTAACCATCCTTGTTCTTTTATGGTTTATTATTATCTCTTTGGGTGTTTTTTCTATCTTAGTAAGACTACGATGGTAAGAATTTCTTCAATTTAAAGGTAGTTTTGTATGTGGTCAAAATGACTACTCAAAGGACGGTGACTGAGCTAGGTTGTTTTAGCGCCACGAGTGTAATGAAGGATTAAACTTAGCGAGTAAAATTCAACGGCCGCTTGGGAAGTTGGGCTAAGAAGTAACAACCTTTGGAACATTGTGGTGTAAGATAACCAGTGTGTTTCTTGAAGGTCCCGAAAAGTTTTCGCACCCGGAAAGCCATAGCAAAATCTCAAACCTTGTGGTTGCAGAGCTGTTTTATTCACATATTTTTAATATGAACAGAGGTTCCCTTCATAGCCGAAGTTTCAGACGCATACACCCCTCTGTTTTTAGATACAGATGAACTAGAAATGGCTTCGCGGGCGCGGAAAGTTTCCTGGGCGTTCGAGAAACGGGCTCAAGTTTGCCTTCACCGAACTGGTAGAGCTTTAGATTGGACTACGAGTACGAGATTGAGTACGAGTGCGATTTTCGATTTCAAATCAGTGACGTTTCCAGAGTCCTCGCTGTTCATGCTGGTTTTAGGCAGAGAGGCTAGCTCATGGCGTGTAATGAGTATGTGACGTGATAATGTGAAGCCTGAAAACTAGAATTGAAAAGTCGTTCTTGTACTCGATCTTGTACTCGATCTCGTACTCGTACTCAAATCTAAAGTGCCGTAACATTACAGGGAGCCTGATGCCTACCACATCAAATGATGGCACTCGCTACAGGCTTCTCGCTTTTCGAACAGCCAAGAATACCTAGACACTATTCTTGACGTAAATAATTGTAAACATAATTTTTTTCCTGTTAACCGGAGGGCTGGAGTCTTAAAAGTATCTTATTTTGCAGGAAAAATACAGTGTATCGAACGCTGGGATCGATGAATGTAACGTATAATGTAAGCTATTTGTAGAATGAAATTATGATGGATTAAATGATTATTTGTAGATTGTTGCATTCAGTTTGTTGAGTGTTTTCTGATTCAGCTTCTCCGACTGTTTAAAGTACGTTATCCTTCCTTCACTTTGTCAAACTTCGCAATAAAGAATAAAACCGTTCACAATTAAACACA